ACACACACACACACACCCACCCCCCTTCTCACATCCTTTCCCTCCATCCAGCCATCACCTGCCACCCCAAGGGTGCATCGCAGGCAGGCTCATTGGAGAGGAACGGGTTAAAGAGAGAGGCTGTATCTCTCTCTCTCTCTGCACGCCTGTGTATTTGTGTGTGCTGAGGTTAAATACTCTCTTTGTGGTGTGTGTGTGTGTGTGTGTGTCAGAAGAAAGGGGAGGAGGTGAGGTGGGGAGCAGATGGACAGCCTCTCGTCTCGCTCTCACATTGTGTCCAACACATCTCCTCTTTCCCGCTCTTTATCTTTTTATTTGTCTCTCTTTTCCAMACTTGTCCCTGCCATCTTTTCTTCCCCTCGAGTCATCTTCCTTTCACGCACTCCTTTACCCTCTCTTGTCTTGGAGCAGATGGCAGCATGGGGCAGCGGCGGCGGCGGCAGAGCAGAAGCCAGAGTGTGAGCAGGGGAAGGGGGAAGGAGAAGGGGGTTGTAGGGAGAAGAGGAGGAAAAAGGAGGTGGAGGTCAGGCATATGGAGAGCCTGGTTAAGGGGCCCCCTCTGAGGGAGTGTGTATTTGCGTGTGGTGAATAGAGGAGGGGGAGCGGCAGAATACAATAGAAATCCATTAAGCCAGAAACTTCCCTCTAATAGACAGAAAAGGAGAGAGACAGATAAGAAGGTTAATATGTGGGAAGACATGAAAATTGTCTTTTTTAGGTTATTTTCTTTTGTGCATCTGCTTCTGTTAAAACCTATGTTTTGACTTCACAGTACTCAGTCTGATTTTAACGTTATGTGGCTAATATTTGTTTTAGTCAAAAATTGCCTAGATGTAAGACGTGCAGCTGTATCTCTAATGGACTGCATTAGGCCGGCGCATCGTTTGSAAAACATGCGTTGTTATTTTTATCGCCTGCTGTCGAAAAGTGGAAGATTGTATTTGTTCCTGCCCGTGTGTGTTTGTTAATGTCTTCTGTATTAGCAAGATATGTTATAAACATGGATTTTATTGAAACTTCCAGAGAGCAATCGTTAGATGTWCTTCTAAAGCACCTTTCGAAGTCAATCAAATGCATCACAAACACAAACATGGGTATAACTCAGTTGATTTTACAGATATTGAGCTAAAATCTGGTGTGGTAGTAGCTGAGAATCATCCCTAACTCTTACTAGAGAGCTTCAATTTATGGTCATAACACATTTGTTTCACTAGAAGTAAATTGCTTAGAATCTTTTGTTATAATAAGGTTCAACACGGAAGTAAAAAGAACAGAAAGGAGTGAAAAAACAATAATATTCCTTCTTTCATTGATACTCCTGCTCTCCTGTTATCTTCATAGCAGGCTTCTATAACCTGGGGAGTCATTGTGTTGTCGCGTGGTGTCAGGGGACAGACCCACGTACACACATTAACAGGATATGATGGGCTCGTCGTCTCTGTCTCCAGCTGACATCACACACATGCTGAACGTCCTATCACACACGGCTCTTTGTTTGGGCTCGCTGTGTGTCTTCGGAAGATGAATGTGCGCGATTTAATGGCTCGGATCCCGGGTCAACTGCTGCATCACTCCAGATGCGCATCGGCCTCGAGTCGTGCGCGACCACGCAGCAATCGCTTTCGACGCCGCGGCGTTAGCGCTTCCCACTCGCGCGGGAACACAACACAAATCATTGTCGAGCGCTGATTGCAGTGAGAGAGAGTGTTTTCCTGGTTATCTGTCCAGCTCCCTGGACGTGCCAAATGTGGCTTTTAATCCATTTCACTATCTGTGGGGAGAGATAAGCCGGAGCTTTTTCAGGAGTCCAGGCCAGACTGTGTTTTGCTGTGGCTGCTCTGTGTCTGCTCACTCACATGTGTGTGTGTGTGTGTGTGTGTGTGTGTGTGTGTGTGTGTGTGTGTGTGTGTGTGTGTGTGTGTGTGTGTGTGTGTGTGTGTGTGTG